TCTTAAATTATTGGTGCACTACTCAATATCAGTATGGGGATGTATATATAAGCTTCAACTAAAAAGCTAAGTAAATGAGCGTATAAAAGACAAGACATTTTGGAGAATAATACTTCTTGACCTATGGTTGATTGAATTGTTGTCGGAAATATGGTAATTTGTTAGTACAGGCAGCTTCTTTAAGGCGAGGTCAACGTCAAAAACAGGTTACTTTCGGAAAAAAAGTGCGAAAGACGGTTTTGTTTAATTCTTGCACTGTTAAGACGGGAAAGAGTCGATAACTGACTTGCGAGATACGCGAAAGAGAGGATTAGATTGGGGTTTTGAGGATGTAACTGAACTGACAGTTTTTACCGTTGTAAAATTTGTTAACTATAATTATACGTCTTTGAATTCGATTATCAGTTGTTGCATCACAGGAAATCAATAAGCTTCTGATAGAAAGAGTGAAGTAATTCGATTTTTTTACAAAATGGTGAACGACTTTCGAAAGCATTTTTTTTTTATCATGACAATGTGTCAAGTCAATTAGTGGGCATTAAATTACTAAATGATTTTTCACTTTGTTAAAAATAAAATTGAATTTATTTGTACGAAAGTTAGAAATATTGCTTTTTAGCACTCTTTTTGTTTCCTACAATTTGAATAGATGGTCTGCTTATATCCGAAAAGCTTCTTTTGTACCAGAATTTTTAAATTGGGCTTCCCAATTCTTTTTGGTTTAGTTGATTTATAGCTTTGCTTATAGTATTTTTTTTCAGATTTTTTACTTTTTTTTGTGTATGAAAATCGATGTAAATTTAACAGTACAAATTAGTTTTATTTTTACGGTACACAAAGGTATTTCTAGCGGTTTTCACATGAAGAATCGGATACAGCCGGTTTGAATGGCATTTATTCTTGTTTGGAAAGAATGTTGTAACGATTATGAATTTTCGAGTTTTCTCATAAGCTGTCTATCGTTGAGATTTTTTCCTTGTCTTATTTTATACGATTGTCGCCATTTCTTTTGCAAAAGTGCACTTGTACTTTTTTTTTATGGCGGATTCTTCTCCATCGTATATAGTATACTTAATCTTTAGGATTACGGTTTTGTAAAATATTTTTTTTTTTTCTTCTGAGTTCCAAGTGGCAGCTGAAATAAAAAGAAAGTGAAAGACCAAGAACTGCTGTTAAAAAATAAATTTTTTAAGCGTTTGTAATAAAACTAAGAAATAATCTTTCGTACCAGTCGGACAAATTGCATCTGCTATTATCTTTTATTGTTTTTATTTTTGCAAACTGGTGTTCATTTTCATACTGTTGATCATGAGAGTGATTAATAAATAAGTTTTATTTATTCATTCTCGAATCAGTTATGAAATTCTGGTTTTTTAGCATTCCTTCGAGCGTGATAGCTGTTTATTAGTTGTATTATTGTTTCACTTTTTTTTTTGGTTGTCTGAAGACTTATGGAGGCATGTAATAATGTCAAATTGTTTTTGACGGATAAATAATTTCGCTAAACAATAGCATTGTAAATTGTTGGGTAACGAGGAAATTTGTGGAATGAAAATTGGGCTGGAGTATTCCTGTTTTTGAAAACGCTTATTTGGTGGGACTTTTGGTGTATAAATGCGTGCTTCATAAACCTTGAATGATGAGCAAAACTTATGAATAAGAGGAATCTCAAATAGTGAGGATCATGATTTCTGCAAATATTTTGTTGCTGTCGCTGTAAATAAATCAGTTAGAAAGCGTGTTTGCTCTAGTTTAGCCATCAGGATGATGCAGTACTTTCTAAAGTAAGATTTGCTTCTCATATTTGTGAGAAAACACAATTTATGACCAAAAATACTACTCGTTTTCAAGGCATTAGATAGTCATTGGAATTTGTCTGTAGAATTTTTTGGCTTTTGATGTTGAAGTGAAATGTATTATTTACAATTATTAGTTTAACAAAGTTCCTGACAGTTATTAGTGGAAGTAGACTTTAGAGACAGGTTCAGTAATTTTTAGTAGACGACTGGTATTTTGATCTAAGATTTTAGCTTGCAGTATTTGCTATAGATGATTAATAGGTATTTACGATACCTCACGTTTTGAATTTTTTAAGTGAATGCCTATGCTGAAAAATTTTATGACTTTATTTTAACATTTAAGAACCTAAATGTTCTTATACTTGCATTTTTTCATATACTAACTTATATACTCTTCCGGTTAGTCTTTGTTTCCGCTGTATTAATGCTTCTCAAAAAATGAGATCTTTTTGAAAATTGCAGTGAAGGATGTATTGAATTGGCTGTTAAATATTTTCGTAATTTGAAGTTTTTGGTTCATTTTTTTAACTGTTTATAGATGGCTTCTGCGGAGCTAGCAGCATTTGTTTTTGGAAGAACAGTACTTCAAAGCATGAGGAGGAACTTTTCGCATAGTTATGGATTGTTGTCAAAACCGCCAAAGGTTTTAAAATCGGATTCGAAGACTTCGTCCGGAGAATTGCTGAAATTTTTTCAGGTTAGTTTTCCACTTATTTATGCGTTTTTGGTTGATTTCGTAATACCGGCTTGAATACAATTTTATACTTGTTTTTGGAATATGATACTCTATAAGTCTTAAAGTGAAAGGCTTTTGGACTTTTATCCACATCTTAGTACTTTTGTCGTGAATGCTATATAAAACTTAATTTTTGCTGCTTCAGCAGAAAATTCGTCTTAATGGTCCAATTCCAGTGGCTGATTTTATGCGAACTGCTATAGCCTCGCCAAATGTTGGGTATTATTCAAGGTATTCACGGGATGACTGTAATATATTTGGAGAGAAAGGTGACTTTATAACAGCACCCGAATTATGCCAGCTTTATGGAGAGATGATTGGAGTTTGGTGTTATTATGAATTGGCAAATACTGGTTAGTGTCTCGGTGTTCAAATGGTGACAGCAGTTGAGTTCTTTTGAAGTTTTTTTCCCGTTTTTGCTGTTCAATTCGGCAGTGTTTTTAGGTCACAAAGGTCAGTGGCAGCTAGTAGAAAGTGGTCCTGGTTCCGGACAGTTGATGAAAGATGTCGTAAGCGTTATGGAGAGGTTCAAGGTCAGTATTATTTTGTTGAAGCTTACATTCATGAATCAAAATATATTACTCACATATATTTTCAGGAAAGTGATTTATCGATACATCTCGTTGAGGTATCGGACTCTTTGATACTTGAACAGGAAAAAACTTTGTGTTGTAAACCATCTGAGTTCATTGACGGCAATCCTCACATACGATTCAATACAACCAAAGGCGGAATACCGGTATACTGGTATCGTTCGATAACTGAAATTCCGGAGAAGGTTAATTATTGCTGGCCTTGCTTGCCTTTTTTTTTGTTTTTATATGACGTGAGGTGTAAAAGCTGTAAGAATTTCAGTTCTCAGTATTCATTGCCAACGAATTTCTTGATGCTTTGCCTATTCATCAGTTCAAGAAGGGTGATGATGGTAAATGGCACGAAGTTTACGTGACTCTAGATGAGAACGAAAATCTGTGTTTTATGCTCTCAAAAAGCGAGAACCTTTTTACGCTGTCTGTTTACATTCTTTTCATATTATTAATTATCACTATGGTTTTTAAACTACTTTATATTGCTAACTACATTTAGCCGTGCTAAATAATGGCATGTTTAGTGGATTAATTCCTCAAGAAATTCGTGGAGATCCTCAGCGAAAAGAGTATGAAATTTCTCCTGCTGCTGGAAAATTTATTAACCAGGTAAAGACAAATTTTTATAACAAAAAAGTGTTTTACGGTCATTGCAGTGGTGTTTTCTCGATGAGATGCCTAAGTTTAGCGTTTTTTTTGGTTTTTTGAGGTAGATGCGGGTATGTTAGAAGTGATATGGTCGTAAGTTATAAAAAAAATTTTAACAGCAAAAATTTCTTTCAGCATTAGTATGGGTAAAATGCTTAAGGCGCTCTTTAGTTTTCAAAATTTTTATTAACGGAATATTGTAACTTGTTTTTGGTACTCGTTCGTTCGTGTTTACATTAATTCTCAGAATGACTTTGAGAATATCAGCATTCAAAATGCTATTTTTTTGAATCCTTGTAAATTTCTTCTTTTTACGAAATAATTTTTCTTTGTGCTTAACTAGAAAAACGGAAAGGCAGAACAAAACTTTGGAAATAAAAGGTTCTTTTGAAAGATTAATGTAGCTTACTGTTTCAAGATGTAATTATGTATTTCAAAAATGTCAACCTACTGAGCATCACGCTCATGACTGAAGTTTCGACAGCTAAGAAACTCATAAAATTATATTCTTTTCAAATCATTGAGCATTTCATTTTGTAAAGCCCTTACTAAATAGGATTTTGTGACTTTCAAAAGGAATAAGCAGTTTTACCAGTTCAGCTTAGTTTTGTTTCTTTGAAAGAGAATGGAGTATATCTAAAACTAATTTTAAGCTTCTGAATCGCCAAAACAAGTTTGGAACTGCTATTGTAGCAGTCTTTTCCGGCACTTTTAATAAGTAATTAGTGCTATTTTGAAAAGTAGTGCAGATGGTTATAGTAGGAAAAATTTAAAGATAATGACTTTTCAGAATAAGTAACGAAAGAGCTTCAAAATTCCACTAATTTTCTTGTGTAACGATCATATCTTACGAATTTAAGATTGCTGAACGTATTACTGCTTTTGGTGGATTTGCTTTGATGATGGACTATGGTCATGATGGTTCAAGGAATGATTTCTCACTGCGAGCATACTACAAGCATAATCTTGTAAATCCACTTGAAAGGCCTGGTGAACACGATTTGACAGCAGATGTCGATTTTGGCTATTTGAAGAAATTGGTAGAGGATCGTCTTCTTGTTTTCGGACCTGTAGAACAGAGGTGGTAACATTTTTTTTGTTAATTTAGGATGTATGATTATCTCTTTGTTACTTATGATTTCTGGGATTTACCTTTTGTGTAGAAAAGTTGTCTTTTGTCTATCATTCTTCTCAAAGAGATAGCCTCAGTACTTCCCCGTGGAAGATGTTTTTGGAGTAGAGCTTCATCTATTTCCTTTCGCCACCCCAGAATTATTTGCTAGAACGGTTCCAGAACTTCTTACTTCGTGGGTTGAGGTAAATTTGTTGGAACTGTGCTATCGGAGGATTTGAAATTCTAATTTTGTTATGAAACCAGTGGCAGAGATTAAATTTCTTGCAATTTTTTCAAAGAACCAAATAAGTTTAGAGCAATTTTCGGGATTTTTTTTTATATCTAACGCGCTTCTATTCATACGTTGGAGGGTATGTGTATCTTCACTATATGACTTTAAGTGCTTTTTTTATCAAAAAAATTTTATGTCAGTTGCCGGTGTGGGGAACTAGAAAGTTTTTTTGATAAATCTAAGTAGGCCTCTTAGGCAAAAGTAGGTGTGAGTTGCGTTTTTTTTAAATTTTGTTAAGCGGTCGGATTGGAATTTGAAATTCTGCAAACTTGGGTTGATTTTTACTTATATAGTCAGCATGAGTGGTGGTAAGCACTAGATCCTAAAGAAGTTGATAGTTTTTTAAGCCAATTAATTGATGGAAGTAATTTAAATAAAGGGAATTAAAAGAAAGAACTGAAGAAACGCTTCTTTTTTTTCAAGACTTAGTAAAACTTTTTGGCTCTTAAGAGTATCTGTGGTTAATTTACAGAACATTTAGGAGAGCAAAAATATTTTTTAGATATTCAGTAGAAATATTGCTCGTCTTGTTTTTCTTTGCTTTGCTTTGAACTGTCTTTCTCCATCTCCTTATGGAATGTCTCTATTGACCTAAACTGCGTTCTCCGCTGACTGGAAGTCCTTAGACAGAAAATATCCACGGGGATCACTAATAGGTTCATATGAAAAACATTGTTTTCACAATTCAGAAGCTTTTATTAAGAATTCAAAGTGTCATAAGCACTATTTAAGTGTTCAATTTAGGTGAAATATGCGTAACTTTTAGGTTTTTTCAAAGTATGATTATTTCAAAGTTCTATCACAGCGTAATTTATGTTTGAGTTTTCCGCTTTACTCTTATATAAGCCTTTATTTCAAAGTTTTAGAGAGTTCTTAACTCAAATGGGAGTTGGCCTGCGGTTGAGAAGACTTTTAGACGAATGTACTTCGAGAACAGATCAAGAAAATTTGATCAAAGCGTACAATTTGTTGATTGATGAGCACGGGATGGGAACACGTTTCAAAGCAATGTGCTTGTTTCCTAAAACCTTGAACAACATAATCGAAGTCAGGGGAGGAACGCCAGCAGGATTTGGTACGAAAGAAACTAAACATTTAAATATTGCATTAGAAAGACATCACGGAGAAGATGAAGTACATTCCACCAGGTTTCCATCAGAATGAAAAATCGCACTGTGCTTTATGGCATTTTACACCTGTTTTCCAGTCAACTCCGAGTTTATTAGCCTTGAGTGAGGTTTTTGGTTTGTCGTGTTTTTTATTGTGGAGTTCACGGTTGAATTCCTGTTCAGCATTTGAGTTCCACCATAAAATCGGAAGTGGCACAAGATGAAACACTCGTTGTCGATCAGATAATCGTTTTTCGGTGTTTCGCTTAAGTCGCTGTAAACGGAGAAAACCATGATTGTTTTAAGATCATTTCATGAACGACTGCCATAAGCGTTTGAGAGTTTTTGTATGTTGCTTAGGAATTTTAGATACAAATTATTTCGCTTGTTTTTTCTTTTTTTTGTCAACTAATAAATTTGAATATGTTTGTTGTCGTTATCGTTGTTCTTGTTAAAAATTGTTCTGTACTAAGTTTTACTAAATCTGTTTTGGTTATAGGCTGGAAGCAATATTTTTTTGTGAGGATGAAATGTTAACAGTACTTAGTACAAAGAAGAACTTCAATTCAGGTACAAATCTCGTCCGAGTTGCTGTAGGAGATTTTGGATCTGATTTGGGTGCAGTTGGAAATAAATTAGCTGCTTTACTAAAGCTTTTTAGGTGACATTAAAGTAACAAACTTATCTTATTTAGTTTTAAAAGCTCACCTATAAGTTAGGTGCAGGTTTTTTTTTTTAATTGTAATTGGGATGATATTTTGTTTAAATTGGTGGTTTTTTTTTAGTAGACACATAGTTGTTTTAACTGGATTTGAATAAAATTTTCGAGAATAAGTACGGAGACAGAAAAGTTTCACTATAAAGGTGGGCAAATTTTCACATGTTTTGTTCAAATATAGCCTCTAACTCAAATTAAGTGAGAATCCTTTGAAGGAGCTAGCTGGTGTTCAGATTAAGTAACTTTGTCGTTAATCCAGTATGATTTCAATATCAAACTGTGTTTAGGACTTGAACTACGTAGAGGAGAGAATTATATTTCAGTATTAAATAACCGTCGTTTACAAGCAGTAAAAGGTATTCAACGAGTAGATGCTACAGAAAATATAAATATGAACAGTTTGGGAAGTGAATGGTAATGGAATGTATTTGAAATATGATTTGTTGGAAGTTTTACTGGTCGGTAGATTACAAGATGACGTGCGTCTACTTTTTAAACGTGCTATGGTGTTGTGTATGGAACGCACTAATTTGACTTCATTTGTTGGAGCAAGTCTGTGGTCAAATGTCATTTCAGAAAAATTTTGATAAAAAACTTATTTAAGTTTTACTTGGAAACTGTTTTTTGGACGATGTGTTTTTCTGACTCATTTTCTTCATAAATATGCGACTGAATAAAGTCCAGTGATAGCGCCATAAAAAACAATCGTGTAATAAAATTTTTTAATCGCTCCAATTTAGTAGTATTTCTGCGATGCCGTATTGTAGGGATACGATGAGGAAATGCGATTAACAAGAAGGAATTCAGGGAACTCATAAGATTTATCACTGGCAATGTTTACAGAAGGCAAAGTTGAATGAGCACGGTATCTCTTGGTGGTTTTCAGTTAACTGTAGAGGTTTTGCTTTTATAAATTTTCAAGTTTTATCTGAAAATCTAGAACTTTATTTTAAAAACTGCTGGCGTTTTGTGACAAGTATAGAGTAGTTGTAAGTCTTTTTCTATTTTCCTTACTGTTGTTCGTATCGTTTTATCGACTATGATTTAGAAGAAGCCGAAGGTCAGTAAGCAGTAGATGTTTAGAAAGAAAGAGAAGCTCTATAAAAAGGCTTAAACAGGCTACATAATCTTTGTAGTATGTACGGTTTAGCGGTTCCCGAGTTTTTGAGAAGTGCAGTATATGCTTTAGAAAGCAGCTTGGGCTTCAAAATGATTCACATCTTTAGCATTTCAGTAGATGTCTTCTACAACCTTATGTGTATGTAAGTTTTTCACTGAAACACATCTCTTTTCCCTGCTGAGGCTTTACAGACCACCAAATACTTCTTTTTCGATAAGCGAAGATTAGGGAGTCACTTGGTAAATGATTTCTTTGAAAGGACAGTGATACGAATAGGCATACGATGTAAAAGAGACTAAGTGAAAAGCCCTCAAGAATTCCTTGACCTGCTAAAGTACAAAGACTGAATTCTTCAGGGCTAATTTTGTCACTTATGTCTTAACTTAGGAATGTACATCGAGATTTTGACTTTTTGCTGATTGGATAAAAAGATTTAAAAGAAATCGTCACCGCTTTGTAATTCAATGGAATGAACATCGTTTACTGGTCCTGATTCTTTTCTACACTTCTTACCTTTAAAGACAAAAGCTCCAGGAAACATTATAATTCTTCAAAATTGAAAGGGACTGACTGCCATCCGTAGTTGTTATCAAGCATGTGGCGGCTTATATAAATATAAATAAAGTATTAATATGAACATAAAATTGGGAGTAGGGCCAACAATTAAAAAAAATACAAATGAGAAGTTTTAGATTTAGAAAAAAGCATTTATTGGAGCCATAACTTTGGTATAACATATTAACGTGTGTATTTGGTTTCGTCGTGGTGTCCTGAGTTACGATAAGCTTATTGAGGCTAGGCTGCAAATAATTTTCACTTGGTATATATAGCATTCCGGCGCTTCTGCAAATGACAGCGTTCCGGTTTTGTCTGAAATATTGTAATATTAAAAAACGTTTTGGTTTGGCTAGCTCAAAAGAAGACGAATTGCTTGCCGTTTAGTAATTCTGAATGGTTTTTTCTTTCTTTTTTTTTTTTTTTTTTTT